AAGACAAGACCAACCCTAACAAAACAAAACAAAACAACACAACACAAAGAAAAACGAAACAAACAACCAACTGAAGACTGGCTTGCCTGCATCCAACGACTGGCAGCAACGTTTTCACCGTCTTCTTGATAAATAAGTTGATCTCCAACATGAAGCTGAACAATCAAGGATCTTAATTTCTTAAACCTGAACTCCAAGCTCTAGACCCAGGCCGTAGATTCTAATCCTAAACCCTAAAACTGGTCCACGCTCTTAAACCGCAAGTACACGGTCCCAGCCTTGCAGAAAGTTTTTTGTCACCACAAGCAAAACTTGGAGGGGCCGCGCGGCGTGGGGCACCATTGAAAAAAAAAATCGGCGGCCTCCGAAGTGGTGCGGGTTTCGCGCTGACACCCGCGSGCCGATGTGTGGTGTACAGGTGCTTTAACACCCTAAAGAGCCTAAACCCTAACCCCCCAAATTATACTAAACCCTGGATCCCAAACCCTAAACCCTACACACTACTGTGTGCACCCAAATACAAAGGATCGGTCATTTTTGCTGTATTTGGACGGAAACATGCCCCACATAAAGCTATAATCACTGTACGGTGTACGTTGTTCGCGCAAAGGACTCTTAACTTTTAAGTTCTTAACCTAAAACATAAAACAACCTTAAACCCTGAGGGCCACAACTGAACACTTTATTAAAGTTTATTTGGTTGATCCATGCAACATTGGAAATCCACCTGCAACACGTCCAACAACATAAATCATCAGAGAGAAAACATACCTTGCATCCTCCTGCAACATCTCGCAACTTGTACACTTTTTTATATTTCCTCAGAGATGACGTCTGCCACGGAGACATGTAACAGCCATGAAAATATTTCAGTCCAGTTCAATTTCAGTACATTTCAGCGTCACTAATGTCATGATTGTTGCCTGATAGTTCACCCGTTCACAAAGTCGGCACAATGATTAAAAATTATTATCATTTTCAAATTTCAGCAGTCTTGCAATGACTTTACTCATTCTTGGTTTTCTTCTTTTGTCATCGTGCTGCATTCCAGCAAAAGAGAGCTCTGGCACATGTGTTCCAAATGTACTGGTTGGCAAATGGGAAAGCTCCTTGCTGTCCAAAAGCACTGAACTCTCTAAAATGACCAAAGGGGAAAGGGCAAAAAACACTGCCTCTTTCAGCAAGGGGAGGGTGCCCATCTAGCCTCTGTCTGTCTGTCTGTCTGTCTGTCTGTCTGTCTCTCCCTCTCTCTCTCTCTCTCTCTCTCTCTCTCTCTCTCTCTCTCTCTCTCTCTCTCTCTCTCTCTCTCTCTCTCTCTCTCTTCCCCCACCTTCCTCTCCTCCTGTGCCTGTTCAAGTGTGTTGTTCTCTCTCTCTCTCTCTCTCTCTCTCTCTCTCTCTCTCTCTCTCTCTCTCTCTCTCTCTGTCTCTGCACAAGTGTGTTGTCAAATTATGTGTACGAGAGAAGATGCATGGGTGGAAGCAACTGATTCTTTAACAGAAGAAGTGAGCCAAAGGAGAAGGCCTGGATCCCCCCGTCCCCCTGATTTGCTGCCTTCTCCTCTTCGTCTTCCCTCTGCTACCACTACTGCTATTGCCTCGCCTTCCTCTTGTTATGCTCTCCTATAGCTCATTAAAACAGAGAGAAAAAGACAGACCTGCTCCTCCTCCCACGGAAACAAAAGAGATGCCAGCTGGCATCAATATGCCTTCCCCGTCCTGCTTAAGAAGATGGGGCTCCTCCTCCCCACTTTTCACCCCCTCTCATCCACATTACCAGAGGTAGCTTCCCCTCCTCAAATCAGGGAAGTGGGCGACCTGCTGCTCCTTTTCTTCCTCCTATTCGTCAAGAAAGGCTAATAGGTGACCTGCTCAGTATTTCCCTGCTCATCGTTGTCCTCATTTTCCTCTTCTCCTCCCTCTCCCCTTCCCTCTATCTCCTGCTTCCCCCCCCCTCCTCTTCCTCCTGCCCCTCCTCCCCCTCCTCGTCCTTCTCCACTCTGACCATATCCCCTCCCTTTCTCCGTATCTGCTATGCTTTCACGTCTTCCTCTTCCTCACAGCAGCTTCATTCCTCTTACACATCTGACAATTCTCATGCCTTCACCCTCCATCCTCACGACACCACCATCATAGGTGCTGTCTCTTATACACATCTAGATGTGTATAAGAGACAGGACCATATCCCCTCCCTTTCTCCGTATCTGCTATGCTTTCACGTCTTCCTCTTCCTCACAGCAGCTTCATTCCTCTTACACATCTGACAATTCTCATGCCTTCACCCTCCATCCTCACGACACCACCATCATAGGTGTGAACACTCCCAAACACGGAAATCTCTGTCTGATAACATTGGAGCCAGTGGGTCAGATCATCAACATTTGTGAGCAATGCATGGCTGCATCCCTGCCGACCGCCGACCCCGACCGCCGACCATATTGCAGCCGACCAGTAGGGCCGACCGGTCGGCGGTCTGCCGACCAGTCAGAAAACAACCATCCACTGAGTACAGCCCAAACCTGCTGAGAAACTTTTGGGGATGGGGGAGTTTGGAGGGGGGCGGGGGGTGTATAGGAGGATATAGGCGGTTATAGGGGTGGTATAGGGGGGGTTATGAGGGTGTTGGGAGGCGGTTTGTGGGTGTTGGGGGGGTGTGTATGGGGGTGTTTGTGGGGTTATTAGGGGTTCTGGACCGAATTATTATTATTATCCTTAACACTCCTAAAGAGTGTAAAGGGTCTTGCGTGACGCTCCCCCGGAGACCCGCTTGCCAGTGTTGGGAAAGGCGGCGGGGCGAGGGGCGAGCCCATGGGACACCTGTGTCCTTTTTTAATCTTATTTTGTCGTTTTGTGGGCTCGCTCGTGTCGTTTCGTTTTGGACTCAGGGCCATCGCTGCACTACTCACGAGACTGAATCCACCGCTGGAGTACGGAGAAATACATTGCTTATCGTTTTTTGTTGTTTGTGGGCCCGATCGCTTCGTTTCGTTTTGGACTTAGGGCCTCGCTGCACTGCTCACGAAACCGAATCTACCGCTAGAGTACAGAGAAATACCTTGCTTATCTTTTTTGTCGTTTTGTGGGCCAGCTCGCGTCGTTTCGTTTTGGACTTAGGGCCTCACTGCAATACTCACGAGACTGAATCTACCGCTAGAGTGCGGAGAAATACATTGCCATCTTTTGTCTTTTGCGCACGTAGATTCACGGCCCGTGCATTTGTTTTTCTGCGTCGTGGGCGGTGGGGACGAATGGGATGAGTCGGAGGGGGTGCGGGGAGGTGGGGACCAGGGCAGTGGATGGGGGGAGGGGCAACGCGAGGAGCAAAAGAGGGACCAGCGGGGCAGGGACGCGATGTGTGTGTGAGAGAGAGAGAGAGCGACAGAGAGAGAGAGAGAGGGCATTGCTGCGGAATTGCAATTTTTTCCCCCCCCCTACTCTTGGTCCCCGCTCTTAGTCCCCGCCGCCGTCGCGGCGGCGAAACGTCTTGTTATTATTATATATATTGTCACATCACTACATATATATATATATATTTTGCGGGGTGCCGATGACCCCCGACCGGTAGGTGCCGACCAGCCGACCAGTCGGCGGGTCGGCAGCCGACCAGTCGAGGGTCACCGTCGATTGGGGTGAGCAACACTGGAGCAATGACAATTAGAACAGTGATAACCTGATGTCATCATTCATGGCAGGCGTATTTGTGCATCAGCATCTGCTGACACTAAGAACCCGTGTGCATATCTGTGATGTCAGCAGAGCTGCAGCAGGTCACCCCGTACTTTTGAATTTCCAAATCCCATATTCAAAAATCACTCAGCAGTCATCAAACGAACAAGGCACTGAAGGAATACCACTTCTAATGTGGCCAGCAGGTCACCCCTTATTTCTGGATTTCCCAAATTCCATATTCAAAAATGAGTCAGCCGTCACGAAACGAACAAGGCACTGAAGGAACATCATTTCCAATGTCGGTGGCTGAATGGCATACTCACGAACTGTTAATAAGCAAACCTGAGTTCGAATCCTTTTCCCTTTTTAAAAGGGAGACGGCTTTAAGATATGATAATATCATAATTTGAGCTGATCTGCGCCACACAATTCAGATTCAATGTTATTCGGTTCTGAAAGGATTCACGCGGAGTCCCAGGGCGGTCCAGTAGGCTAGGCCGTAGGGTATGCCATAGGGTATCCCGTAGGGTCTAGGGGTCCGAAATGTCGTAGGTCGGTAGGTGTTGGTACCGAAGCGTCGTAGGTTGGTAGGAGTCCGTCCGGGGCCCGGCAAGAAAAGTCTGGATGAGTCCAGTCCGGACCGACAGTCCCAAGTCCAATTTTGCAACATGTCCCAGGAAAGTCCGGAAGCTGCCGGACCGACAAAATGTTTGCAGCAGAGGCCGCGGCCGACTGGAACCGGTCTGAAGCAAGCCAAGCCAAGCCAAGCCAAACCAAGCCCTATATTTAGCTGCTACAGTGCAGCGGCTCATCACTTGTTCAGTTGCAAGAGGCTGAAGCGCTGCTGCTGCTTGTGGGTTAAGGCAACTTGGGAAATGTGTGCCCGAAGAAGAAGAGGGCGCACATGTATGACTCAATAGCTAGGGTAGGGGTAGAGCAGGAGGACGACGGCCATAGCCCCCAAGGTGTAAAGCTTACCTGAGTGGGTGTATCCA